AAACCGCACAATGCTTGCCATTTTCTTAGTCTCCTACGAGAAGCTTTTAAAAAGTAGTACTTTTCAAAGACGAGTTTTGTGTCAGGGTGAAGTTAAGATGAGAGTATTTTAACAGTTTCTTAGTCATTCATTATGCATTCCAATTTCTGCCACAGTTTTTGTCTTAATCATGAACAGTAAGCTTGATAAAGACTGCTACACTTCAACAGGAAAAGTGATAATACGGAATAGTGAATTAAGACAGTGAAGCACTCTCAGTGTGATATGACGTTATTTGATAAAATATTTTCACAACCAGCTTTTTATTTTGGTAGGTGAAAGCTAACGATATTTATTTTATGATTAAACTCTTTTTCCTCTTCTATGTGAGTATTTCAGTGTAAAACGTATAGTATACCGTTAATTAATCATTAGCAAAAGTACTTTCTTTCAAAAGCCAAGCGGTAATGCAGACTTATCACTATATTAAATATGTTACATCGTTTTCGCGTAATTGTTGTCAGAATTTCACTGTTCTCGCTCAAAGTTTTTTGATTTTTTTTCAAATTATTTAATTTTCGATTTGGCTGTCTAATTCCCAGTTTAAACATTTTTTCGTCACGTAAATTTTTTTACAAATCTTTGGAAAAGAAAGTAGTAATTGAGAAAAAGTTGAAGGTAAAACACTTCTAAGTTTTTACTGTTTTTCAACTTACTTTTGAGTTTATCACTGGCTACTATCTGGCGTTTTTTGTGCAGGTCTTCTAGCATACGGTTCATCAAAGTTCTTCAGGAATCGCTTTTTCAAACCTGCTGGTTTTTCCTTTAATTCGCTATTTTTGTCCTCTTATTAAATGTTGCCCAACACGTTTGATTCAGACATTTATTATATTATCTGACCAAGGCACTCTTTCCAGCAACGCCACCTGCAAATCGGCAGCAAAAACAGATAAACACAATTTTTTTCAAAGAAACAGTTTATTTACCGTGAAATAAAAGTTAAGGTTGGTAAGTCAGAAGTAGAAAAAGCTGCACATAATACCTAAACATTTAGAAAACGCTTTTGAATAACTGATTGATTACATTTCTAACAAAGCCTAAAGACGATTTACAGAAGTTCTTTTCTCTCTTCTGCTGGTCTGCTGTCAGTTTATTCAATGGATGTGGTATCTTTTGCAAAAGTAATTGAGTGAAACAAATAAGCACGTCGTAGCTGCAGGCTGTTTTCATTTTGTCTTTCCTTTCGTCTACCACTGCTGTCTATTACTTACAACTTCACCAAAAGTCACTAATTTCTTTATCAATATCTTCTTTAGAGGAGATAGTTGTGGTTTATTAGAAGGTTAAGGTTTCTTCCCAAATAGATAAAAGCTGAGATTGCTTTCATACCGATTAAATTTCCTGGTCTTTCAAGTTACTTAATTACCAGTAACTTTAAAAATAACATTCCCGTAAAAAAGTTGCATTTGATATCTGTATAAGCAAGAACAGATCTTTACTATTCAGATGAAGCAACTTAACTCAAACAGTACTAATACTGATGTACTTGTGCTGGTGTTAATCTGAATTTTTTATGCAGATATAATACAACTTTTCTGCTTGCGTGTAAAATCAAGTGTCATGTTATCTGCAAAGGCTAAACTGTGCAATTCTCGCCTTATTATTTCTAAAAGTTAAGTTTGGGGTAAGAGTAATATTAAAAATGGCAAAATCAACAGCTTAGTCAATTATTATTTATTCAAACTTCTGCTACAATTTACGGCTGAAATACCATTTAAATGCAGAACTTATGACCGTGCTGCTGATTTGGACCTTAGACATCTATGTGGAGTGAAAACTTTGGTTATTTGTCACAAGCGCCAACTAGAACTGCTTATAAAGCGCTTTTAAAACCCATCGCTCGCTGAAACAATTCTTTTCACTTTTTTTGCCTTCTTTTTTCATTTTTATCTTCTTAGCTTTTTATAGCAGAGAACTGTAACTAAGCTTTATACACAAACTTTTCGAATGTTCTCATTAAGGAAGGTATCTGAAGATACCGATAACCCGTCTTTAAATCGTTTCAGTACTCTTTCTAAATAACAGGTACCGTGTTCACTTTATTTTCATTCTGTCAAGCAAGCTTTTATTATTCTTCTTCAAAAGCATTCTATTCTAAGGTTGTTCTTTCCCCGTATATGACACAATGAATAATTTAATGTAAAACCGAAAATACTCTACAGCTAAGATGCAAAACACAATAAGATAATCGTTCTGTACACAACCCTTACTTAAGGCACAAATTCAGCTTAAATTAAGCAGAGTATATGAAAAACTTGCAGATCGTCGAGTTAGGTCTC